TGAAAAGATATTTGGCACATATGTAGAGCTGATATAGCTCTATAAAGTTACTGGTCAGATTTTTTTAAAACCCCTTAAATAAAAAGTTATAACCATTTAAAAAATTGAAACACTTCGTGTAACTGTTGAGTATAGATTTCCTGCACCATACTAAATAACAAAAAAAAAAATTGAACCAACTAGAATATTAAAAAATAATAAAAATAAAAACTAAAGTCGGACGTGCACAGATTATGTAAATTTTTCTTAAGCTAATAAAAGCTCTATATACACTCCAAGCGTACGGTATATAAAAAACTCATCTAAGTGGTCCCAAATAATAATAACGACTATAAATTTTAACTCCTTTAAATGCACATTTTGCCTTTTTTTTACACCATAAATGCACGCCCACTCTAAGCACACACTTTTCAATTTTTTTCTTAGACCTCCACTTAGGAAGGTTTGACTGTATATAGCAATAATTACAAAATTCGAGTCAGAACATAAGCAATTTTTTTTATATATTTTTTTTGTTTGTTAATTTTAAGTTACTATTACACTTAGAGAAGGAGTAACTTTTATACATTTTTTTAGTCTATATAACCAAAAGGTAGTTAGCAACATTCATATATATTATATAAAAAAGATTATTAATAAAATATATAAATAAAATTCAAAAAAATATATATAATTTTATATACTTTAAAAACCTTTTATATAAAAATTAAATCATTCATTATTTGCCAGAATCATTAGGTTAAAAGTCGCGTTTCTATTGTAATTTGTCCAGAATTGCGAAAGGATTACAATATCACGGTTGTACTCATTTATTTCCTAAATTTAATTTTTATGTGAAATAAGAAGTAAAATAAAACGCGAAATTTAAGTATTCACAAACCTGAATTCGACCATTCATATCTTCTAGAACGTCGTTTAGTTTTTTCTTTAGCAAAAATAATAAACATTTAGCGATTTATTCATGGGAACCGCTCCGACAACTTATTCACGCTTTTTAAATTTACTTACTACATTAGAGACAATTCTGTTTAATAATGTTTTTTGTTGTTCTTCGTGAGGATTTTCAACGCTTTTAGTAGCCATCTTTGAAAATTAAAAGCATAGAAATACGCGATTTATATATCGGATAGTTTAGTGGGTACACAACTGATTCTTCAAATCACGTACGGATCTACAATTTTCTGATTACAGGATTATCGAGTTAGACGTAATGCTTGTCAATTAATAAGACAACCCAATTTTCTGTTATAAAAGTTATATCTAATGAATATCTGAAAGTTTTTCTTTTATGAAAATATCCTTGCCTCTTAAAGCCATCATCACACTAAAAAGAATTAGAATAAGTCTAATAAAAGATCAAAACATTAATAATGTTTAGATGCTTACTCAAATTCACTAATTGTATAGATATAGGAATTTTTACACAGGATGTAATCTTTATTGAACCTTTAGAATGGAATGGGATATCTACTCTCACTTTTAAACTTTCTTTATAATCTGACCAGTTCTCATTAATTGTATGAGACTGTTTCATCATAATGGAAAGCACGAGTACATTCGTGCATAATATCTAAAACAAATGTGCTATATGCACCTCCCTCAAACGACACAGCGTCAAAGTTCCTTTGCTTCATATTACCGGGAACTTTCTACAATTATTGAGGATAAGCAATAAACTAGAAAGAAACAATATATATGGAATTGTATTCATAACACCAGTCATCATCTCAAAGATTATATACATGTGAATCGTGAAGTTTCCGATATACTGTTTTAGGATGTTTAAAGTTCATTCATGATTAATGAAAGCCCTTAAAGTTTCATTTTACACTACACATTGAACATCTCTAATTATTGTGCTATTGTATTTATTAATATCGATACGGGGAACTATTGAGGAGATAAATTATAATCAAATGAAGATTTCCTATTTTATTTTATTTAAAGCCCATTGAAATGACATGGTTTTTTTTTTATTCTTCTTCTTCGTCCTCAACGTCGTTACTAATGTTAAAGTATCTTATTTGATACGTGTTCTTATATGACGTTAAAAGAAAAGGAGTAAATATTATTACTTGCATAAGCAAAAAATTGATTAATACTTCAAAAAAGAAAATTGACATACCGGATCAGTAGCAACAACACGCAACCAGTCACGAATACGATGTTGTTTCATAAATTTTTTGGTAAGATATTTCATATATCGCTTGGAAAAAACATGAGAATTGGTGGTGATTGTGATTTTATGATCTTCGCTACGACTTATAGAGACAAATTCACCTAATTGACCTGTACGACCATTAATTTTCACTCGATCGTGAAGAAATTTTTCCTATTAAATATTAATTATTTTCATGAATGTAATCAATCAATTAATTAATTGAGCCCCTTGAAATGGCATTGATGAATACTTACAAAAGCTGCTGAGTCAAAAATCTTATCCTGAGAAGGTGCTGATGCATCAATAATGTATTTTTGTTTATTCACGGCCTTTTTACTGGCCTTTGCAGAACCACCTTTTTGCTTTTTTGTAGGTGAGATCAAAAGATTTAATATATTATAAATTCTTTATGGAAGTGAATTAATACAACTTACAGTTGCACCACCAGTCATCACTATGGCTTTTTTGACACTTGTAAATATAATCCAAACCTCGAGTAATTTCGGGTTTCTTTGGAAGAGGAGGAGGAATATGACTCGCTCGATGTGGAAATTTATAAAATTTTTTTTTTTTTTTTTTTTTTGCAGGGCATATTGTCAGGTGATTACAACCAATCACAGACGGAAAACTGCAATCCTACTTTCCGTGCCAGGTTATGTCGATCATTGGCCTAGATTGATCGACATCGGCTTGCATTAAGCTAGTTTTGAAGTTAGCTTTAGATCAGATGAGAATTTGCTTTAGATTAGATGAGAATTTTATGGTAAAAACTTATCAAACTTACGAGAGGAATTTTTTTTTATTAGAACATGAAAAGCTGTTTCATAGGCAAAATTTTGAGATACGTAGAAAAACTTTTTCGATCGTGATCGAGCACAGAAAGTATTTCGTAGGCTTAGAGAGCTCTACGGAAGTTTGGATCATTGGATAACTAACAAATTTAAATATTGCATTTGATGACCGAATCGATAAGTTTTTGATGTCGGCCGACGTCAGAATTTATTGTAATAAAATCTAATATTTTTGAACGTTTATGAGGCGGAATTCAAAAACAATATAGGATTGAAAAAAAAAAACTGGCAAAAATAAAACGACGGAGAGAGCCCTCAATAAAAAAAACCATAAAATTGATATACAGTATATATGCTAACGAAGAAATGTCGGCTAAATAGGATTATAAAAAAATTAAGAAAATTCTTTATTTAATAATTTTTATAAATGGTAACTGTTCGTTTATTGTTAATGGAATTTTAATAAATTAAGCAATGTTGAAACATATCTCACCGCTACATATTAAAAGACCAAGTGCAATGGAAAATGTTTCGTTGGATTTCACTTGTTGAACTTCAAGATAAGTAGATAGAGTGAAACTTCCGTATGCGAAATGAACATAATATTGTAGAACATAATTGTAATCAGTTTTTTAAAAAATATATAACGATAAATGAAATGAATAAATTTTATAACTAGAATCAGCAGTTAATTAAGATCTTGCGGGGAAATAAAATATTTGAGCCACCAACCAACAACGATAATGTATGAAGGTGCTGGACAAATATCCCATCATGATTAACTGGTGGGGTCAACTAATTTTATCAAAGAGAACCTTCGACAAAAAAAGCGTCCCCCGGTTGTTGCACATGATGTAACCCCAATCATCGAATGGATATAACAATTGTCATCACTCAATATACAATTAATTACCAAACTTATATAAATTAATGTTTACCATCTTTGACAAGGTCTAAGTTTAGTGAAAAATTCTCTCGTTGCTACTCCTGAAAACCAAAATTGAATGTTAAAAGAAAAATAATTGAGATTGTTATAATAATAAAGAACAACGATTTAAATGTTAAATACTAGATCAGGATCAATAAATATAATCAAGAAATAAATTCATCTGAAACACGGATTTGATTTTAAAAACATCATATCAACGACTTCATCAAAGCACAGAATTCAGATACATACCATGAATTCCAGTTAGTATCTATGATTTTTTTTTACATTATGGTAATTTCTTTATTATCCTAGAGAGGGAATGATCATTAAATGACATTAGTATAAGTTGACTTTATATAATACTATATAAAAAATTTTTACAGATCAGGTAAAGTTTTTATATCTTTCATTATTAATTTCAGAAGCAGAACTGGAAAATAAATATCATCATGTGAACTACAATAAAATATATATGGCAGTATCAAATTTACCTTTAATAAATACCTTTCGTTTCAAATATCACATAATGGTCTAAAAAAATTATAAGAAATTATACAATTAGACCTTGCATTTGTATGCTATAGAAAATTAAATTTTATAGGTGCTCAGATGGTAGTGCATGTTTTAGTTGTGGCTCATTGAAGATCACCAAAAACTATGGTTCAAATGTCATCATTGGAAGACGCATTTATTAGTTAAAAAGTAGAGTACTTACAATTGAAAGCAAGATCTCTGATTTACGTTCGATAACTGATTTTAATATCCAATAAGGTGATGATCTCGATATCACATAACCGATTGATAAGAATTTTATACTGATGCCTTGATTTTTGATATTAACCTGAAAAAGGGTTATTCGAAATAATTTTGATGTACGTATTCTGAATTGACAAATATTGGAACACCACTTCATTGAGATCACCCTTTTAACATGTACTCTCGGATCTCAGAACTTGGTGAAGTGAAGGGTATTTCTGATGCAAGTTCTCATAGGAGAAAATCTAATTAAAACGCTTCTTTTTCTACTCTAAAGATATAAAATTGAAATTTACGTACTTTTGAATATTTGATCGGTAAAAAAAAACCATACCGATGGCTGAAAAGAGTAACGATAATACTTCTTCTGATACAATTTCCTCGAAGCCAAAATCAAAAAAATACCGCAAAGAAAAACGTAAAAACAGGTTATCTACTTGATTAATTATTTATTTGACGAAAATTTTATAATCTAATAAATTCAACCACAATAAATTTAGCTTGGGACAATGAGGATATAGATCATTGGAAAATCGAACCGTTTGCTCGAGAGGATAATCCGCACTCTTTTACTGAAGAATCTTCATTTGCAACTCTATTTCCAAAATATCGAGAAAATTATTTAAAAGAGATATGGCCCCATGTTACGAAAGTTTTAGAGAGTGTGGTATTTATTTTCAACATTCGTTATTCTGTTTACTGTCACTTCAAAATATGATTTCTCAACATCATCCCAAATTTAGGGTATTGGATGTCTTTTAGATCTAGTCGAAGGAAGTATGACAGTTAAAACAACCAGAAAGACATATGATCCATATATAATACTCAAAGCTCGTGATTTGATAAAATTGCTGGCAAGAAGCGTTCCGTTTCCTCAGGTATTTTTAGAGTACAATGGAAATGATATTATTTTCAATATTAAATTGATTTTGACTTGATTTGACTTGCATATATTAGGCTGTTAAGATTCTTGACGATGGTGTATCATGTGACATTATCAAAATTGGAAATATTATTCGAAGCAAAGAACGTTTTGTCAAACGAAGACAAAGGTTGATTGGGCCAAATGGTTCGACGCTGAAGGTATAATATTCTTTAAGTAGATAATACTATGAACTTTAGGCCGATTTAAGATACTACATTAACTTTTCTAGGCGATAGAATTATTGACTCAATGCTATGTCATGGTGCAAGGAAATACCGTATCTTCTATGGGTTCATATAAAGGTTTGAAAGAAGTAAGAAAAATAGTAATCGATTGTTTAAAGAACGTTCATCCTATATATCACATTAAAGTAAGTATACTTGAACTCTTAATATCATCATTTAAATCGATTTCTAACTTGGTAATTATCAACTAGGAATTAATGATTAAAAGAGAACTTGCTCAAGATCCAAAGTTAAAAAATGAATCATGGGATAGGTTCTTACCTCATTTCAAAAAACAAAACGTCAAAAGACAGAAAAAACAAATCAAGAAGAAAGAATACACACCATTTCCTCCTCCGCAAACCCCAAGAAAGGTAATTTATTTAATTAATTGTAGTTAAAATATTGTTTCAATTTACTGCGCTAACATGTTTTTTTTCTTGCGATTTTAAGATTGATTTACAACTGGAATCTGGTGAATATTTTCTTAAACCTAAAGAAAAGGCCGCTCGTGAAATGGAGAAGAAAAAGGTAAAATATGTATTTTTATATATATACTTTATTGTTTTATTAATCCATTTGTTAAAATAATTAAAATAATTACAGGAAAAACAAAAGGAAAATACCCTAAAACGGAAAGCGGAAAGAGAAAAGGCATTTGTTCCGCCTGTAGAAGACGTCCCAAAAAAAAAGAACCGAAAAGCTAAAGCTGAGTCAAGTCAATTTGTAGAATAAATTCTTATAATTTATATGATCATAATTTTGTTTCATATCTAGCAAAGAATGAAATTTTTGATTAGCTAATTAATTTATAGGATTTATTTTTAATTTATAAAAAATGCATACTTTTTTTATTAGTTAGATCAAAAATATATTAAAAAAGTTATGTTTGCTAAAATTAGAGATTGCTTTTAATACTCTTTTTATAAAACTTAATAAATATTTTATTACTATTAATTTTATTTTTTTTTTCTTGTAACTTTATAGCACTGTGAGTAATAGTAATTATAAAATTAGATATATAGTTTGATTATTAATTTTCTTTATATATATATATACTAATTTACCGAATTTTTTTTAATTAACCAATATTTGGTCCAGTTCCAATTAATATACAGTAGTTCCACTAGACTGGACAGTCCAGTAATAGTCCAGCGGAAAAGTCTAGTCCTCAAACCAACATTACAAACGTTAATATTAAATTTTTGTAAAGAACTCTAGCCAAAAATTTTTCTTGAAAACAAAAGCATGAAATTACAATTGATTAAAATTTTTTAATTTGTTTGATTCGTGCGAACTAGTAAGCTAAATATCAGTATATATAAATATTATCCTATATATTATTAATTTACAGTCAGAACGTTATTAAATCGTAATATGTAAAGTGCCTTTGACGATGCTTTTTTTGTGATTCAGGATGATTATAAGCATCTGTTCTCATTATATTATAACGAATATTCAATGTTCTTTCAAATCTCTCAGCTAAGGTTTCCCTCTCTAACCGAAGCACTTTTCTAATTTTCAGCTTTTAAGTTTACCTGAAATATGATTGGTTATATAATTGGTTAAAGTCCATGTGATTTATTTTTGATTACTGTTTAAACCTTCGCGTTCTAATTTTTTTTTTAACATTAATCAAAAAAACAATTTTTTCTTAAAACGTAGTATTAATTGAATACGCCAACAAATATATATTCTTTATTATAGCTCAAAAAAGAAAAAACACGACAACACCTATGGTTCTATATAGAGAATGCTCAAGCTCTCAAGTATTACAAGGTTAGTATTATATTTGTTAACATTTCGGGACGGAAGGTTTGAGTCAGTATCTGACTAGTGTTTAATATTCTATTTTTGTATTTACTAATTTTTTTTTTTTTTGCTTTTTCTTTAATATAATAGATTATCGAATTATCATATGTTACCGATTAAAAGTAACCCCCGAATAAAAGCAACCCCTCAGATTTTGGAGCCAAAAATTTGACTATGGTTATTATGTTCTACTAATAAAATTGTAGTCAAATAAAAGCAACCCCATCATTTTGGCTCAAAAAAGTTCTCATTTTTTTGCACTATTTTGGTTGCTTCTATTCGGTAACATATGATATACTGTATATTGCTTGAATTGACTAAATACATTCAATGAAAGTTATATTATGTTTGTAAACATTTTGGGAGCAGAAGGTTGCTACTGCATGTTTAAGATGTCTATTAAGTTGTCTGGCTCTGGAGAAGAAATTTGTATATACTTTTCTTAACATTTTGACTTTACTAGACCTTAATAGAAACAATATTGTTGAAATAAAAATACCAAGAGTGTTTTGCAGAAACTAGAGTTATTATCTGAGTCATGGGTTGAAAATTGCTATAATCTGGGTCAAATAGATTAGAATTCAAAATATGCAAAAATCTACTAAAATGCTATATTACACAATTTACTAATATACAGTAACTATATAGGTAGAAGGCATTATAATTTACTAAATAGTAAAGCTCTTATCGGATAGTCTGATTAGCTTCTTAGAGGTCATGTATTTTCTGAAGTAGAAAATGAATGAATTCAAATCATGAAAAATTTTTTAATACAAAAATCAAAAACTCCAGTTTAAATATTCAGAGTAAAGGCTATTCTCTATACTGCAGCTCTAATTAAGAGTTATTACATCGATTTTTAAGGATTAACTTCAAAAACTTTATGAATTTTCATCTAATCTGTTGACCTAGGTTATAACTAGTATTTAAAATTTGATGTTCTTAGTGTTCTCAGAGAATATTTAACAATTTTTATAAACTTGAATTACTGGAAAATGTTTTCTATTTGAGAACATTTAACAAAATTTTTTAATATTAAAAAATTTTTGATTTTCTAATACTGAGAACATTAAAAAATTTTTGAGAACATTAAAATTTTAAAAAATGTTTTTTTGAGAACATAAAATCAATTTTGAATTTTAAATGCTGGTTATAACTCAGGTCAATACCTGACTACCCAGGTTGGTATTTTCTGACCCGGGTAAGACCTCTAGCAGAAACACCAAGTATTTTAGTTTATTATTAGCAGCTCTGTATTAGTTTGATAAGAGTATCTAAGTAGGTTTTGCCTTTACTGGCTTTTTGGCAAGTGAATAGGACCCAGTTAACTGACTCTTTGGTAAGTATTAATGCTATTACTGAGGTGCCGAGTTGGGGCTTGAAATTTTTCATAATAGGTAATATATATTTGACTAGTTTAATATTTTATTTTAATATTTACTAACTTTTTTTTTTTGCTTTTTTTTTTAATATAGATATTGATATTAAATTTTTTAAAAAATCAAACTTGGATAAAAATATATTTTGAGTATTAAAATTAAAAAAATAATAATAATAATATACAAACCTACTTATACACAGGTATAAAAACAATAAAAAATAGAAGTAAAAATAATTAGATCTAATATAAAATAGATAATTAGAATAGAATAAAGTGGGGTTAGGCTAAATATAAATATAAATATATTTAAAAATAATTATTAACATAGAATAGGGTGCTTTTAATAGTAAGATAACATAATTATTGTAATTACATTTTTTTTTTTTTTAGTATTAAGGTGATCTCTTTGGCTGGGGAACATTTTATTAGATAGTTTTGTTTTTCAATTACAGTAAGGGTACATATAGCCATACGTGCACCTTTTGAGTATTTAATTTAAGTAGTCCGCCCGAATGTTCTACACTATTT